AAAAAAAAAAAAAAAAAAAAAAAAGAAAAAGACAGGAGAAAAATAAAAAAAGGGACAAATGTTATTTAAATAATAATAACAAATAAAAAAAAAGGGAAAGAAGAAAGAAACAAAAAAAATAGACAAACAACGGGCGAAGAAAATTCACTCAGGGCGGACCCTTAAAATTCCTACCTCCAGGGCGGGTGCTTTAGCCTGAAACACAAACGGCAAACCTGAAAAGAAATTCCGGCCAGATGGGGGGAAGGAAAATGGGCGATTTTATATGACGTCACGTTTAAACGAGGAATTGTTGGAATCGTTGGTATCGTTGGTCGATCATTTAATATTCTTATAATTAATTTGTTTTTAACATAACCTAGAAACAAATATATGTTCGTTTGTATTTAATTTTTTTTTTTTTTTTTGATGGGAGCAAAATCGATTTCGTGTTCAGGATTTATTTCTAGTGAATGTGTGAGAAAAATGAGCGAATGTAAAAAAAGAAAGAGGCGAAAGATGAGTGGACGCGAGAAATCAGGCGACAAAATGCAACAAGATGCCGCACGACGCGATAAGATGCGATTGTCGGAAGAGACATTTTCTCGCAGGGTTGATTTTGAAAAAGTAATAAATAAATTTAATAAATTTAAATTATATTTTAACATTTCGAAAAAAATTTCTCCCCTCGTGTATAAAATACGCGGATATTAATTTTTCATTTTACATTTCTTTCTATTCTCTTCTATATAAAGATAAAACGTCTCTTGCCAGAACGATCACGGGATAGTAGAATTTTTTCAGAGAGATAAATTTCACGTTTTCGTGATCGAAGATAATGACACGTTCGACCGAAATTCGAATCTCTGATATTTCAAATATTAGTCAAACTTTACCACGTATTTTGATCGTTTGTATCCGAAATATTATTAAAACCATCGAATTTTTAAGCGAAATTGGCCAGAACGTGTCGAAGTATCATCGAATTTTCGAGGTATGTATACAAAATGTTTTCCAAAATCGCAAAAGAGCAACGATCTCACCCCATCCTTTCCTGTTTCCAAATCAAACGTATCGAATAATTCCAAAAAAAAAAAGGAAAAAAGAAGAGAGAGAAAAAAAAAAATACCTTCTCTCGTTTCGAATTTCCTATATCTACATATTATCGTAGTCGGATTTTTATAACGAAACAAGAGGACAGTTGGCGCGCTGTTCGAAATTAATTTTCATTTTCGCTCGATGGCGAATCGGGCGAACTGTCGAGAAGGGGGTTCGAAAGCTCGAAAACGATATCTGTCGTTACCCGTTTCCTGTGTCTGCTCTTTTGCAATTCCTCTCTCCTCTGTTTCATAATTTCTCCTCTTTTCTCTCTGTCTCGTCCGAGCGAGGGAATCGCCGTGGATTTTTCGCGGTACGATACGGAGGAAAGCACGAAAGAGAAACGAGAGAGGGTGGAAACGGGGAGAGAAAAAGAGAGAAAGAGGAGGAGGAGAAATGGACGAACAGGCGAGCGACGAAAAAAAAAAAAAAAAAAAAAAAAGAACGGACGAGAATGACAGCAGATGAAAGAACGTAGAAACGAGATAGGGATGGCGTAATTGTTATCGGGCTCTCTGCGTTTCACGTGTGTGCAAGCCTGGCAAAACGTGTCAACTAACGTCAGCTGTTGCTTGAGGCCATTCCAGCTAAACGGGTCCGGAACAGTTGCAGACTTTAGTCAATATTTCTGTGCCTTCTTTTCTCTTTGTTCTACATCTCTTTCTTTTTTCTAAATCTCTTTTCCCCTTCTTTTTATCGTTATTATTATTATTATTATTTTTTTTTTTTGCGTTTAGTTTTGTTTGTTTTTCGTTGTTGCTGTTTGTTTCAACTCTTTTTATTCTTTCTTTTCTCTTTTTTCTTTTTTGCAAGATATCTATCGTGCGCTCTGTTTCCGGGACGCGATGGACGACGTTTCGAGTGGCTGAGAATCGATCGAACGACAACTTTTTTAGAGGCAACAATGAACCCTCTTAGAGGGGGTAAGAACGTCCGACGGTTTTCCATTGTGTCACGTGAAACACCGTTTTCCTGTTTGAAACCGTTTCGCCGAGCACAAAGGCTATTTTTACAGTGGGATCATTGTCTTTGATAATTTTTAATTTGAAAATCATATATTACCAATATCTAGACTGTTAATTTTATAAACGTAGCAAAAACATTTAAAAAAAATAACAAGGAAACTAAAAAATACTATAAACAAAAAAAAAAAGAAAAAAGAAATAAAATTTTGCTCATAGAACATTAACGGAAATAATAATTGGATAATTTTATCAAAAAATATAATTAATGTTAACGCATCTTCGAATAGTTTAAATTATTGTTATATAAAACAAAAAAAATAATAATTCTTTATTAAATTTCAACATCACTGACCATTTTGCAACGGCATGTTAAATATAGGTCATCGATTTCGTGGCAATCACACGTTAAATCACTATTCCAAAAATTCGATGGAACCAAACATTAACTACGTTAAAATATTCCAAGCGTGGAAAATGATCGATAATTTCGATTTTTCAGGTCGCCGCTCGCGACCCTGAAATTTTCTTCAATTTTCTCCTCGCCTCGGCTCGGATCGTGGAGGAAAATTCGCACAAACAACGTTCAACCGTACGTTCGTTTATCAATTAATCCCCGATAATCTGCCGGCAACGTCTGAAAGGTGATCGATTAAGCGCGCTGATGTTTCAATCCCGGGCGGGGGAGGGGCATTGCTCGATTTAATTAAAAACTCATTCGTCGCCGCTTCGAGCCCCCGGAAACAGAGCACCGGCGACAATTTCCGGCGGAAAATCAGTGAAAATCTCGTGTCTCACCTGTAGCCTGTAGTTGGGATCCTGTGTCGCCGCGTGTGCTGCTAGGAACGGGTCGTAATAAACGCTGGAAAAAATAAAAATCACGAATGTTAGTTTTGGCTTCCTTTTTCCAATTCCACCTCTACGCCAACCAGTATCTTTTCGGCCTTTCCTCCTTATTTTTCTAAATATTTTCGTATTTTTCTTTCGACACGTTTAACGCGTTTTCTCTATTCATATACATTTTTACTTTTCGTTTTATTTATTTTTTTGTGGAATTATTTTCCTCGCGATTACAACGATTACACGACAATTCAAGAAAATTTAAATTGTTTCTTTCATAAAGATTTCGATAATTGTAACATTCATAGCATTTAACACCGAGCTATGTTTTCATAAAAGTGAATATTAATGAACACTCGTCTTCATTCTGCCAAAAAGAAACTGGTCGCTCTCATCTGCAAATAAAATATTCGCGAGAAATAGAAAGTGAGAATCGTTTTCGCGAGATACAAGATTCGAGAGATTACGTACACTTCGCTCGATATGCCTCGAACTCGATGCTTCGAATTCGATGATCGACGAATAACAGCGTCGAAAGGATCGATTTGACTTTTTTCGTTTCATCGTTTGAGGAGGGGGGGGGAGGGGGGGAGAGAAATAGTTCCACTGTTTCCGCGACTCGATGAATTTCCACCCACTTCCCCGATCAAAGTATCGCGTTTCGATCAAATTTCGAAACCGAAACGCGTGCTTCTCTACTCTCGTCGAGGCCATCTTTTATACCTGACATATTTATTCGTATCGATCTCCTCGTTCCATCGATTGTATCGAGATTCCAGATTCGTATTTCTCCATGTTTCGAGCCATCTTTTCAAATCTCCACGCGATAAAGATCGTCCTCGTTCGATCCATCGTTTCGAAGTTTTCGAAAATACAAATCTTCTTTCTTTCTTTCCCTCCCTTTTTTTTTTTTTTTTTTAAATCGAACGAGAATATTCTTTCGCAAGTGGATCGATCGAAAAAAAAAAATCGCGATAAAATTATTCCCTCGTTCATCATTTTCACCGCCCTTCGAGTTTATTCGTCGCCGGTTATCACGACTTCTCGCCGTTTCGTCGTTCGAACGTTCGAAAATTCATAAATCACGTGACAACGTGTCGCGCGATGATCGGTGGATCGGAGGAAGACCCGATATGTAACAAACGATTTCAACGCGTTCAAATGGCCACCCTTATTTATGAGTAATAAAACTGGTAGCGATTGATCGACGGGAAAATATGGTCGCAACGCGGAAATATCCGCGGTCCCCGCAATTTTCCATCACCAGTTTTCATCTGGTGCGCGCCATCGTGTCGAATTGTTTAATTAACGGCTATACATGTACACAGCTATTTATCGATGCGCGAGCGACAGGGAAAAACTGGTGGTGGGAATTGCGATATCGACTAAAAAATCTAGGGACCGTTCAACATGGCTCCTCGTCGACATTATTATTGAAAAAAAAACTTGAAGAATCATTTAATTCTTAATCCTTTCGAGACAATGTTGGGACAACGAGTTTCGAAAATATTATTGATTTGAACAATAATTATTTCAATTATAGTGTATTTGAATCGAAACTGTGATATTTTATATGACGATATAATTTATTACATGATTGTACATATGTGATAATATATAACAATTATATCTTTGATATTTTATTTTAATCTTGAATTATTCAAAGAGCATAGCTCCTTATCCCTTTCACAAAAATATGTATATCATAATTAACGAATCAATCTTTCTCTTATTCCTTAATCTCGAAAGGATCGAACTGAAGAACTGAATCTCGAGAAAAAAAAAAAGAAAAAACGACACGAACATATCCACGAGCATTCGAAAATCTCGATCAAGCTAAACAACATCACGTCAATTTTAACGATCCATGCAGATTTTTGATATTTCTCCCATAACCTCTCACTCGACTTTTCCTCTTTTACGAACCTTCGAAGTTTCGAATCCTCCCCCATTAACCACCGATCATCCCGCCACGTCTTTAAAAAAAGAAGATCATTGTCGGGGATAAATCGATCGAAGACAAACCAATTATTCGAAGGATCCCCTCTCTGTGGAAGAATAAATTCGTGGTTGGTTTGGAGGGAAAGGTTATATCGTTTCATGCTGGTGATTTGTGTGAAAAGCAGGCTTGCACGCGCATGCTGGTCGCAACTGGAAGCGTGTTTGGTCTCGATGACACTCGATGATCCGCGGCGGACAAATTGGCGGAATTTCTCGCGGTTCGGCGATCGGCTCGGCGAAACGAAAAAACTGAATCAGCTGTTGAACGAAGTGTGAATTTCCACGCGGAATCGCGGCCGTTGGTTGAAAAGAATCGGTAGAACGTGATATATATGTACATATAGAGGAATTCGGATCAGTGATTTGAATATTATCGGATCTCTCGTTGCGAGTCCGTTGTTAAAAAATATTTTAGCCAAGAAGGGAGAGAGATCTCATCTCGCGTACAATAATATCTCGTACAGATCTGTTGCGAAATAGGTTTTTATTAAGTTTCGTATATAAATATTTTTAAAATTGCGTTAAGAATTTTATCGAAGCTTTAAGAGGAAGAAAGTTGTAAATCGTTTGTTGTTTTTCTATATTTTTTATGGATGGATAAACACTGAAGTGAAATTTAAGTAAGAAATTTTTAAAAAGATTTTCAATCGATTTTTTTTTTCATTCGATTTTTCATTTCTTTCTTTTCGTTTCAGACAATAAGAGAGTTGCCGTAACGGAATGTTGACGTTTTGACAAGACTATACACGATAATACTACATTCTCCGTTCTCTCAGAACAACATTCTCAGAAAACGACACAGAAGTTAAAGCTACAATTTGTTACAACTCGAACTTGGCTACGAACGGTTATTCCCATCCTTTGTGCCGGGACAAACACTTGAACGACTTCTTCTGATTCTGTGAACGCTCGGTGAAGTATAGTCTCCTCTCATTCACGGGCTTACACCCGTGTATCTCTTAAACTTTGTCACGCAACTGTTTCAACTTGCAAACTTTCCCGGCTCCAATTAAACCTTTCCTTCGTAACCAAGTCAACTTTCCTACTTTGCAACAGAGCCGCGAGTTCGTGTCCCGAGAACTTTGCCTTGCTCTTTAACGCGAATCCTCTATATTCAATAATTTCGTGGGACTAAACGTATTAGGTCATCTATTTAACACGGTTGTACACCGAGAGGAGAAGTTGGGACAATGGAACTTTCACGAAAGGAGAATAGAAAGCTAAGGATCATTATTCACGAATCCGGGTTATAATCTAATACAATACAAAAGTAGAATAGCCGATATACGACGTACGAACTATTTTCCGCCATTTTGGATCCGTGTACTCGATCAATTCTCCACCCAAGAGTTCTCTGTTTCAAAATAATTTCAAAGGAATGAAATTAAATCTCACAGATCCAAAATAATAAATTGAATCGATCCCTCGTATATTTCATAACCAGAATTTTATAAACAAACTATTTCTCTTAACTCGAAGAACGAGAATATCAATACACAAATATAA